TTTTTTTTTTTTTTTTAGGTCTGTTTGGAGCAGGGTTACGTAGCACACCGCTGTCTGAGCTTTACCTGTCGCTCGACACCCCTCTCAAAGCTCGTAGGCAGTGGTAGGTGGAACTATAAAGCCCCTCTTCATTTCACACCGCCTTTCTGCAGCCAGTTGAAGGCACCTGCAGAAAATACCATGGGAAGAGGCAGCGAAAGAGGAAGGGAAGTGAAACCCGCTATAGTTCTGTCTAGGCCAAATAATAATTCCTGCACGTTGAAGGGATTAATCCCAGTATTTACATTTCCTTACAAAGATAGTAGATATTCTTCCTGGTTTTATTTTTTTTTTCCTAAGTATACTTCAGGGTTAAAAACTGATACAGAAATCTGCATAAAGTAGCCTCTCCTTACTGGAGCTCAAGTTAATATATTCCTAATTCTATTTCTTCATAGATGTCATGAATGTCCTCTTGATAGTCGTGGATGATCTGCGTCCTGTCTTGGGCTGTTACGGAGATAAGCTTGTGAAATCTCCAAACATTGATCAACTTGCTTCTCAAAGCATTGTGTTCAGTGATGCATATGCACAGGTGAGATAAATAATAAAAAAGTTTCCTCTGTGCAAAATAATTACTGGTTTTTTCACAGTAGGTGTTAGGCGGACCACTGGAAATAGCAAGTATTTGTTAACCTTAAGTATTTCCAGTAGAAAATAAATGGTTGGGCTGAACTATACTGTTGTGAACCAGTCTTTACTAAAGTGAGAAAAATGAAAACAGGGCATTTGAATGATGCTATTTGTGTAAATCCTGGAGGAGTGTAATGCTGCTCAAACGTTTTCACTGTTAGCAGCGAGAAGTGCTGCTTAAAAATGCTGATTTACAAAATTAGAATTTTTTTTTTTCTACTGTTGATAAAAGATTATTTTTTACTTTTTAATTTTTTCTTTTGAGGAAATCTATAGACTGTTTTGAAGGGGCAGCTTGTGTGGTAAGCATCACTCTTAAATACAGGACTCAAAATCTCACTAATTGCTCTTTACTTGAATACTTTGCGTAGGATGCCTACGATCACAAGTTTCTCTCTGCTGAGAAAATAGAAGTTTGAGTGTAATTCTGACTAGGGATTAGGACTTCAGAGCAATAACTCTTGGCTCTTGCCAGCCTGAAGCAGAATTGGTGAGTCCTTTGGACCTGTAACCTGCACCTTCCGTATGTTTATCTTTTTCATTATTCTTGAGGCATTCCGAACCAACTAGACTGGGCTTTTGTCAGCACAGTCCATCTGCCACTTCTGCTTAATTCTGTGTGAGTGTGAGCTGCTAGCTTTCAAAAGTACCATCTTTAATGCAGCCTGACTCTTTTTGCACTACTAGCTGCATAACCAAAGCTTTTAGTGCTTAGGAATTGGTTATTTGAGGAAAAATTATAGATAGGTAAATGTATATCTTGCTAAAAGCTTGCATTTAGGAATTGGTACTCTTAATTAGGATGCCGTTCCTTCCAGCTTGAAGTGATATGGAACACTTTCACAACAGTTCCTGAGCGTTCACATGTTTTGCCCAGCTACACCTAAGTCAGCTCATATGTGTGTTTTGCTTTTTGCTCTGAATTGATCCTCTTTTTGGCTGGCTCTCTCCTCAGCAAGCCGTGTGTGCTCCCAGTAGAGTGTCGTTTCTTACTGGACGCAGACCTGATACTACCCGACTGTATGATTTCTACTCCTACTGGAGAGTACATGCAGGAAATTATTCCACGATGCCCCAGTATTTCAAGGAGAACGGCTATGTGACCCTATCTGTGGGGAAAGTTTTTCATCCTGGTATGGTTTGAGTTGTCATCTATTTAACTTAGACATGCTTAACATGTATATTCTTACAAACAGCCTTTATGTATAAGTATCAACTGGGTGATTCTTGTCTATATAGACAACCCTAAATCATAATTGTGAGCCAGATTGTAAATAACTGTAGGTTGTCTTTAAATCTTAATTTTAAATCTTAAGGCATTAGAGATTCATTAGATAAGAGTAATCTAATATATTAATGTTTTCACATCTTGTCTAGGGATTGTGGGAATAAATGTCTAACATTTCTAAAAATATGTCTGGAAGTTGGGTATCCACTGAAGATGAAATTACTGAACAGCCTCATTGTCTTAGTTCTGCATGTACATGTTTCGTGTTTCATAATGGGTGGGCTGCCTGGGTCAGGAGATTAGAATGTCTGACTCATACTACCAATTAAATAGGAAACTGGTTCATTAGTTAAAAAGCAATAACACTACTGTGTTAAAGAATACTGTAATACTGACCCCCTTTTTGGTAGTTCTTTACCTCAGAACTAAACTTGTATGGGTATATGAACTTTCAGTTGATAGCAAAGCTAATTAAGGACATACATGAAGACTGTTATTAATCCTGGTTTTTTGGTGATTTTTTTGTTGCTGAAGTAAGGTTCTTCAAGAGGTTTGAGTTTCCCTCACCAGTAAAAGGTGTATTTCAGGGAAAAATGTCTGTCTTAAGCTTTTGGACTTTTATTTCTTGATTTTCTTTTTCTCAGTTGTCGAAGATAATTTGACATGTTTCTTCATTTAGCATACTTAAAAAAGAAAACCCAGACAACTGAAAACAAGTTAAACTTGTGTTTGAGATCTTTCTGGTTCAGTGAGCTATCAGAGCATTTCTAATGTCTTTACCCTTTGCAGGGGTTTCATCCAATTACAGTGATGACTATCCGTACAGTTGGTCCATTCCACCCTTTCATCCTTCAACTGAAAAGTATGAAAATGATAAGGTAAGGGTGAATCGTGGGACAAAAGAAGAGTTTTCAGGATATAACCAAGTTCTTTGTGTCAAGCACAGGCTATACTTTGTGGGTTTTGAGAGTACAACCTTGCGCAGGGAATCAGCTTAGTCCAGTTTATTCTGTTTCTTAGTCTTCCAGAAGAAGGCCAGTCTCTTCCATTGTGTGCCAATCCTGCAGATATTTTAAGTATTTCTAAATTAGTGTTTGGAAACTTAAGTTACTGAGATAAAAGTGTTTGCAAGAAAGAGTGATCTTAATTTGTGTAGAGGTCATGAATTCCTTTATCTGAAGAGTGCAGTTGTCAACTTCCACACTAATCTTGCTCTGCTTAGGAAGTGACAAAATATTGTCAATAGGCTTGGTGAACTTAAATCAATTCCACAAAGAGCTCAGGGCTGAGTGGGTGGAGGGCATGATTAAAACAATCTTTAAATAATCCGAAACTTTATGATCTGATTCAGTTTTCTAGAACGTTTGTAACTCTTAAGTATGGCCCAAAAGAATCTGTTTTATGTTTTTGCAAACATTGCAGTAGCATCATATCCTGGCGTCTATACACTGCAAATCCAGGAGCTCCAGCCATGAGGCCACATTCAACCTTGATGATGCTTTGGTTTTGCATTTACTGCTGAAAAAGACTGGTTTTAACAACAGTATTTGCACCCATGACATACTTTTCTTTATGTTCATTTAGCCACTCCTGCAAACTCCCTGCTGAGGAGACTTTTCCTCGCAACTGTTTTGTTTAGTTTATCTTTCTTCACTGATTATACATCAGCCACTACTGGTGTTTGTTAAGAAACTAAGGCAGTAGCTTCCAGGCAGCTTTCTGTGAGCTCTTGGGATCAGAAGGAGTAAAAATACATGTGTATGGTGTAACAACTTCTGCCTTTTATTCATCGTAGAAGCTGTGTGTTTTCCCATATGGTTACTTTTAATCTTCTGCCCAGCTTTAGGGAGGATTCTGCTTTTCCATTTACATGGAAGTTACATTCTTCAACTCCTGAAGCTGTCTGCTCAGTCTTCGATGTACTTGGCACCTTTAGTGTTCACAGAAATTGTGAAATTCCTCTTAATATCCAATCTGCAGTCTTTTGTTGGTAGAAGGATCGAGAAACAAATTGGTTTGAAAGTTACGGAACAGAGGATTTCTTCTTTGCTTTTACAGAAGTTACTTAACTAATTCTTTTTGTTTGTTTTAAAGACTTGTAGGGGAAAAGATGGAAAACTTTATGCTAACTTGGTGTGCCCAGTGGATGTGACAGAAATGCCCAGTGGCACTCTTCCTGATATTCAGAGCACTGAAGAGGCCATACGCTTACTGAATGTTATGAAAACCAACAAGCAAAAATTCTTCTTGGCTGTTGGTTACCACAAACCACATATCCCACTGAGGTACCCACAGGTGAGGAAACTGCAGCCTGCAGGGAAAGGAAGTTAGACAAGCATTGTTTTTGTTTTTCAAAGATGTTTCCACAAATGCTTTATTGCTATTGTTTCTGGAAAGCAAGCTGAAACCCAGCCTTGACTTGGTGTAAATTTAGCAGTTGCATTTCAGAATGTTTAATGAGAATGAGTTGTAGCTGCTCAGCCAAAATCCAGGCTTCTACCACTATAATAGTGACTACTGTTGCATGGAGATCGTGTTCAACTTGATGGAGTATGGCATAATGAGGCCTTACAAGATCTTGTACTCCATTCCCTGTTTGAGTTGGTGGCAAAAATCCTGCTCATCTCAGAGGAAATTATGTTGGATGTTTTATTTCAGTGTTGCTTTGAGATACAGGAGGCTGTGTTTAGGTACTTACTAACTCATTTTTTTTCAGGAATTGTCTGTGGCTGACTAGCATAGTATTGCTACCTTTTATGCTCTGGGGGAGGGGGAGCCTTGTAAACTGTAAGAATATTAAACGGTCATGCAAGGGGAAATGGCTGCTGCTTTACAACACAAAGTTTACAGTAGACCTTAGTGGTGAGGGCAGTCTTTATGTGTGTTTGTATTGTGAAGGAATTTCTCAAGTTGTACCCCCTGGAAAACGTGACATTAGCCCCAGATCCCTGGGTGCCTGAGAAACTACCTTCCGTAGCATACAACCCCTGGACAGATATCAGACAGAGGGATGATGTGGAAGCATTAAATGTTAGTTTCCCATATGGACCACTTCCAGATGACTTCCAGGTAAGCTGTCAATACAGTGCACTGAAATCAAACTGCCTTAACTTGTTCAAATGCAAGGAGCAGTTGGCTGCTCTTAGATGTTCCCAGGTATTCAGCAACTGACAGTTTGCAAATACCGAGTTCCCTGCCTTGCATACTGTCACCTCTAGCTTTGTAGGCAAACCTTCACTGTAACTGGAGTCAGGCTAGTGGGGGTGGGGAGGAAGGGATCATCCATCAACTAGTGATAAATTATTATGTGCTTGTGGTTTGTATATAAGGGAATGTATGTAGCAGCTACCAGTGCTGTGTTTGTTTTCATTATCTGAATCTGTTTATCTGTTTCAAGCCACTGCTCAGTGTGTTGTTTTTTGCAAGATTTTCCTTGACTTTCCAGTGCTTATACCAAAATAAGGTGCACCGACTGGACCCCGAGAGAAGCAGAACTGATTGGTTTGCCACATCTTGCTTGAAAGAACTTCTGGGAGATTTTCTGACTGCCCCCTCCCTATTTACCTTTTCTGGGACATTAGTCAGGCTACAGATGCTTAAAAAATAAAGCTTTACAAATAAAATCCTTTAGTTCACTTACATGGCCACCCACTGGTTCTGCTGTTTGTGTGTCTGGGGAAAAGCTAACTTTCTTTTTTTTCCTCTCCCCCGTTTTCTTAACTTGCAGCGGCAGATTCGTCAGAGCTATTATGCAGCAGTTTCTTACCTGGACACGCAAGTTGGCCTGCTCTTGAATGCTTTGGATGATGTAGGACTCTCAAATAGCACAATAGTAGTTTTTACTGCTGATCATGGTAAACATTTACATCTTTCTCCAGCTCACTGTTAATAACTTAATTGTGCAACTCTGTGCTGGCATATTAATCAAGTGTGTGTTTGTATAATGTACAGCAGAGCTCCCATACCTTGTATATCTGGCTAGTCTGTCTCTAATTAAATGGACTGACACAGGCTTCTGTGGCTGCGCAGTTCTGTCCCCCTGCAGGCACCTCTCTTTAATCAGGTTGAGGGTTTGCTAGTGAGTGACAAGACTCTCTGCCAGGACACAAGGCTGAGCTTGCTGTATTCCCACCTCCTACCCAAGGAGTGACTCTTGCTGGGAACAGTGCTGTGAAAGGATAGCGACCACTCCTCCCCCCTTACAATTTGTAGAGAGCCATCTGGTGCAGTGGGTGACAGGCTTTCTCATTAACTGCTGAAGTGTGTTTTCTTGCACTTGTCATTGCTGCTTGCAGAGCATCTAAACTGATGGCAGTATGGCTCCCCCCTCATAATTGAGGTCCTGCACACTCTGGATCCTTGCTGGTAAAAAAACTGAATTTGATTTGTGGGGCAGATACCTCAGGCATTTAATGTTTGTTTCAATACTCTAATATTCGTCAAAATTACATCCCCTCCCTTCCCCCCCAATCCCTTTAATTGGGGGATGGCTTAGCTGACTTAAAATAGTTAGGATATGACTTAACTAAATCAATTTAAAGTCATGTATGTAGTTAATTTGGGTTGACTTCTGTAAGCGTCTGTTTATAGACAAGACCTTATGAGTTGTAGAGCAATGGGATTAATACTTCTGGTACTAAAGTGACTCTAGTTGTTCCTTCTGACTTGCCGCTTCGACTGGGACTTTCTGTTGTAAACTGAATTCCTCTTTTCCTTGCTGTGGTTAACTGTCAACAGTTGGTGTTTCCAGTACCATGGCTAGCAAAGTGATCCAAAAAAATCATGTGTTAACATAGCTGTCATAGAGCTCCTTTGTCTTCCCCCAAAGTGAAGTTGGCAATAAATCTGCCTGGAAGGAAGTCATGTTGGCATCTCTTGCAAGAGGAAGAGGAGAGCTAAAGAGTTTTGATCTCAATTGCTTCCTCAGGGGTAACATCCTGATATGGCAGTCTGGCATAGATAGCAGCCTTGGCTCCAAGGGATGCTCAGTTACAGTGTTAACAGGAGTATTGGAGAGCTGGCAGCTGCCCAAAACTTAAATGAGTGCTCTGTGGAATTGATCTGGAGACTCTTGTAGGCACTGTGACACACCCCAGTTCCTCTTTTCTGCTGTTTTAATGCTGATTTCCTAATTCTAATCTAGAGTAGGGGAAATAAGGAAAGGTGTAATTATTTCCTTAATAAGAGTATCAAGTTCCAAGATTTAGGTGGCTGTTGAAATAGCTTTCACGGTAGAGAAAAATCTTTTTCTATTTAAATACAGATTGTTATTTGCCTTTTAATATAACCTTGTTAACAGACTAGTGGCCTCAACAGCCAGAGTCAATTTATAGTGAAAAAGTAATGACTACTAAATTACAACCCAGTATCTGCTCTGAATTGTATTCTTTGTCATTTAGGATGGTCCCTGGGAGAACACGGTGAATGGGCAAAATACAGCAATTTTGATGTCGCTACCCGGGTGCCGCTGATGTTTTATGTACCAGGAATGACAATTTCCTCTGTTAGACAAGGAGAGAGGGTCTTCCCCTACCTTGACCCTTTTAGCCGTATTTTAGGCTTGGTACCTCAAGGTAAATCTCCAGCATTTATTTTTTGTTTGCAGTGTATATATGTGAAGGAGAAGTGGTGATGTAAAGATTCTTTGCCTACAGGCAGCTTGAGTCGGTGTCATTGACTGTGCTGCTTGTACTGACGAGGAGCAAGATGGTGAAGGGAATCCTTGGACGCAAACTTTTGCTTTGGTTAGATCTGCTTTAGTGGAAGCAGCTAGATGTCTGTGTTAACACAGCAGGCAATTTATTTTTTGCGTAGTATAGATGCCCAAAAGGATACAAAATGGCCTACCTTTTGTAGTAGTGGCTGCTGTCTTTCCGGCAGTGATTAGTAAACATTCTCTGTGTGGCATCTGTACTTAAAATGGTGGCACTGGAAACTCTTTTGACCAAAGCACCCTTGTGTTTAACTATTGACACTGGAATTTGCTTTCTCTTTCTGGAAGAGTTCTTCTTCAAAGTAATGAATATTATTGTCTTGAAGGCTGCACACTTGAGAAATGTAAGTGTAGAAATCTTCTTGTTAAAAATGCATCATGAATGCATAGACTAGCATCTTCAGAGCTAACTGCCACTCCTTAATTGCCTTGGTTTTTTTTTTTTTTACCCTACAAATCCAGTACAAAGCACTTTCAAAAAACACCAACTTAATTATCAGAGTAAGTTTCTAAAATGTTCTACCAGCGTCTGTCAAACCATCATGTTCAGTAACTTGTATTTTGATGTTTCTTCTAGTGCTAAGCAAAAAAGTGGTTGAGCTTGTGTCTCTGTTTTCAACGCTTGCTGAACTTGCTGGACTGCCAGTTCCTCCTGTGTGCCCAGAGACTTCGTTTCATGTTGCACTGTGCACTGAGGGGACAAGTATTGTCCGGTATTTTAATGCCTCTGAAAAGAAGGTGGAGGAAGAGAAGGATGGGTGTGTTGACACTTACAGGTGTTTTAATGAAGAACCTGTTGCTTTCAGCCAGTATCCCCGGCCTGCAGACACTCCTCAGTGGAACTCTGACAAGCCAAAGCTGAAAGACATCAGAATCATGGGCTATTCCATGCGTACAGTTGACTACAGGTATACTGTGTGGGTTCAGTTTAATCCTAACAATTTCAGTGCTAACTTTGAGGATGTCCATGCAGGAGAGTTGTACATGGTACAGACAGATCCAAACCAGGATTATAACATCTACAGCAATACTTCACATGGTTGTTTCTTAAAAAAAATTCTTGGCTTCCTGAAGCACTAGGGTTCAGAAACTTCTTTGTGCATGTTCTTGCAACTGAAGTAACACTTCCTTTTTTTTGTATAAAACTTTTCTGTTGTACAGAAAACACTTGGATTGAATTAAAATCCTGTTTGTATCAAAACACTAGCTATTGCCTTTGTCTTGTTACAGCTCTTACTAAACTGAAGTAGTCAGAGCGAACTTCTGCAGTTGAACTTCTGTGTGACATTCTTAGGTGCCAAGTGGGGCTTGGCAGTCTTGGTTTTGGACTAGGAGAGCTAAAAGCCTCCCATTTAGATTTAAGTTAGTGTGGTGTTTAGCAACACATGGTGTGGAGCATTAGTTGTCCCAAGTTATGTTGGTAAGCACATTTCCGTATGGTAAATATGTTTGGGAGCTTGTATCTGAGAAAAATGTTTTTGCAGAGTACTTTATTTAAGTGCTATCTGTACATTATGCTCACAGCCACAAGGTATGCTGTGCTCTAGCATGATGGTGGTAATTTGTGTTGTGTTCTGTCAGCCTGCTGGATTTCTGCAATTCCATCTTGGTAATCGAGGAGTTCAGAATTTGTACCTTAAAAGATAAGAGCTTGCTCAGACAGTGCTAACTCCTGCTACCTTCCTCAATGAACTGCTCCAATGCCTACAAAAAGAAAAAGCCAGCCATTACTTGTCTCCCTCAGATAAATTGACTTTAATATCCTAGAGAAGCCACAGACATAACTTTATTTCATTAAAATCCATGTGACAGTCTTATTCCTAATTAATGTAGAGATAACCACCATGAATCTGATTCTCTGTTAGAAGACAGTGGTTATTTAGTGCCTCAAACTCAATTAGAAGAATATATTTCTTATGAACTTGTCATTTGTTTTACTCTGCCCAAGATGCTGTGTGTTCTGCAGCATTTTTATTCCTGATGAAAACATATTTTTCCCTCACTTAGGCATGTATACTCAGCTGGTGTGAAATACTGCAGTTGCTCGTAGCAGATTCAATGTAGCTACACCAATTTCACACTGGTTGAAGGTGTGTTTTATTGAGAATGGTGCCAGGCAGAGATTTGGAGTCTGCAGCTAGAGCTAATTATATCTCTGACACACTTTCCTTCAAAGGAAAATCAAATATTGGGAAGTTATTTTGGGGGAACGTATTGAAGCGTGAAGGATTAATCTAAAGTGCTGGTATGCTAGGTTAGTAATACAATGTACATTTAAAATTGCTCTGGCAAATAGGTATTATCTTAGACTTGGCTACCTGAGCTTTGTGTTTTGTTTTCCTGCTAAAACACCCATTAAAAAAAAAAAACAAAACAAAAACCAAACCCAAAACTTTTGGGGGGGACTTAAAATTTTAGCATGTAGATAAATTATTTAGGAATTTTGTTTTCATGAAAACATTCTTGTACATACCTTGCCCTAAGCCTCCCCTCACTTCAGGCAATTTAATTTTTCAAGTGGAGATAAAAGTCCTGGTGCTAGGTGATGAGTATTTTTTTCCTCAAGTCATTCTCTTTTTATTGGAAGGGAAAAGCTGCCCTTGACCTTCCTTAATCAAAATCCAGTAATCTTTTGGGTAGACATGAAACAGAATTGTCTCTGACAGCCGGTGAATCAAGACTGGTATCCACATGCTCAGGGCAAGGACATTCTTGAATAATTGCACGAGTTGCTGAGCAGGACCACTGTCCACCTAGCAAGCAGTTTCCTTCTGCCTGCTGCTGGGTTGGGGCATAACGTTTTTGAGGATGAGTGCAGCATAGCATTAAATAATGCTGTGTGAGTTAGTTTTGTTGTGGGATTGGTTGAGTGAAATGCAAAGCCAGCAGAGGCAAAGGGGTAAGGCACATTTTTCCAAACAAACCAAAATGCTGCTTCTGCTGGAGAGCCTGAGCTGTGGGCTTTGCTAGGCTGAGCAGCCTCCACTGAAGAACAAAAGAGCTTAAGAGGAGCAATAAAAGTAAAGTGCTCTTGTGAACAGCGCTCTCTCTAGAGGGAAGAGGATGCAAGCCAAGCATCAGGAAATAAATGAGATGCCAGCGCTGACCCTATTTCTCAGG